ACACCTCCTTGGGAGGACATCAGTGAAGGTCCCCACACCCACACACACACAAACACACACACACACACACACACACACTTGGGGGGCGGGCCCACCTGTCACTTTTTATGCATACTAATGTGATTGAAACATTTTTTATGATACACCATAAGGCGCAACAGTGGGGGCTTTTCACACCTGTGAATACACATCAACCCCCTCCTATCGACGGATCTCACACCTACTTGAGATATCACACCTACTTGAGATCTCACACCTCGAACAAAGGGGAGGCGGGACTTAGCTCATTAGCATAAGTAGGGAGAGGTGTGACCTGTCACAGCACCTGTCACTTTCGAAGCATACTAATGAGATTGAAGCGGGATGAATATTACTACTGATACCATTTCGGAGGGATATGATACATATTAACTTTAAATGTTATGCATTTCAGTTCTTCAATAACATTACTAAATTAACACTTCACTTTCCTGACACAGTTCCACTAACATTCACTGTCGATTGTTATTTTTATATATTTTTTGCGGAATTTGTTTATATATATATATATATATATATTGTTCGCATAAAATCCCCGGGGTTTTTTGCTTTGTATGTCGGGGGCGGGAGATTCATGTGATTGGCTGTTGGTCGCGTTAATCCCCAAGCTTTCAGACACGCCCACCTCCTTTTCAAGATTTTTTTAACGCTGCTGTGTGGACGGGCCGTAACGGACCCCGTGCTGATCTGGTAGGCCGTGCAGATATGGTACCTACACAGGCATTGTTTCTGATAGCAACTCTCTGTGGGTCCGCCGCCGATTTGAAAGCAAATCTTTATCCGCTCGTTGTACCCCCGTTTTTAAAAGATTTGGGTACGGAGGAAAAGAGAAAGGGTTTTATTTTCTGACGCTGCGTGATTTCCCCGACGCACCGGGGACACATATTTATGCATAAAAGACATTGTCTAAAGATATTCTATTACAAGTCAAAGTCCGTCATATGATAAAACTAACTTAGCTTTTCCTCCACAGCTCCTTCATCTCTTACACCATGGCTGTGATTGCTGTGAACTTCATACTGCCTCTGTCCATCATGTTGTACTGCTACTACAACGTGTCCGTCACTATGAAGAGATACAAAGCCAGCAACGGACTGGACAGCATCAACATGGACTGGACCGATCAGATGGACGTCACCAAGGTGAACACTGCGCCCCACTGAGCCATCTGACTCACTCTTCTTTCTTCACTCTGCTAGGTTAGCATAGCATAGCATCAGTTTAACTTTTCTGTTTTAAAAAGTGGTTAAAAGTCAATTCATTTTCTTCCCTGCATATGATACTTGTAAAAAGCTTCCTTTGTACAGTTTTCAACAGCATGATATTGCATCGGGAATGTGTCCCCTGGATTCAGGCTTATTTCACCCTTGCATCTGTATTACATTTTAATCTTGACAAGCAGAGAATCGACTCATTTTATAAGGGTAACTTTGTCCAAAAATCTATTTTTAGAAACTGATTTGACATACACTAGTTCCATCCTATACATGTTATTACAATTATTAAACATAGAGTGGTGCAAGAAAGTGTCCTAAAACCCAGAAATGATGCCCGACTGTTTTGGACGTAATATGGTCGGCGTTTACATTATCCTTTATGTACTGCCTGTCCCATGTTTCGAAGTCAACAATTTGTTTAATGTGTTTATTGTTAGATGCGTGAAATAAGGTCTGTGGTTAACACAAGCTTAAAATATTATTTAGTTTTGTCCCACAACCAAAAATATTTCAGTAATACTGTTGAATGTCTGAAGATTTTCTGAGTCTTAACATCGTTGGTTTTTCAACCGTGACTATATTACATTACATTACATGTCACTTGTTAGACGCTTTTATCCAAAGCGACTTACATACTCAATACTGTGGACAATCCACACAGGAACAATTTGGGGTGAAGTGTCTTGCCCAGGGACACAACGACATGCTTACTGTAGTGGGGTTTGAACCTTTGACCCCCTGATCCGAACACCAACGCACAATCCACTGCACCACACGCCTCCTATATAAGAGTATAAGAGTACTGACAGTCCACCGAACATTAGCCCCCTTTAGCTTAGCAGTGGTGATGTGAAGGCAAAACGATCATGATGTAGTTTGTTTGAAGCTAATTTCTGACAACTGTATTTATGCTTCAAATATATAGAAGTGGTGTTAATATGTGGAGATTATCCTGCTGAACAAAAGTAACTGTGTAATTATCATAAAAATGTGTCTACCACAGAGCTAATTTCTGCAATATTCTGAAATCGAATTGAAAAACCCCTTTGATTGTTGTCGTGGGAGCGCTTGCAATGCTAACCATCGGGTCAACCTATAAAAAGATGTCATCACTGCAGCACTCTATTGGACTTTAGTATTGGAATAATGTATTATATAGGCCTACACTGTCCTGACTCTCATATTGAGACTATGTTGGTGTGTTTGTGTTTGACAGATGTCGATAGTAATGATCGTCATGTTCCTGGTGGCCTGGTCTCCGTACTCCATCGTGTGTCTATGGGCTTCATTTGGTGACCCAAAGAGAATCCCTGCCGCCATGGCCATCATCGCTCCACTCTTCGCCAAGTCCTCCACCTTTTACAACCCCTGCATTTATGTGATCGCCAACAAAAAGTAAGTGTGTTTTCCTCATCAATACACTTTGATAATAGTTACATTACATCTAATTCAGCTGACACTTTTATCCAAGATGATATGAAGATACAAACTAAAAGCAGCAAGATCTTGCAAGTACATTAGACTCCAACAAACCAAACCAGGTTTGTAAGTGCTTCTGCATTGGCTTCGAATTAGCACAACTGTCCAAAGTGCTACGTTCTTTTTTTTATTGGCCAAGATGCATAGGAAACAAGTGGGATTTTAGACTTTCTTCTTTCCTAATATCGATACGGAGCTCATTCTACCATTTTGGAGCCAGGATAGCAAAGAGTCTATTCTGGCTCCAAAGAGTCAACTAACACTGACTGAGTAGTATGACTAATCTGAACTGTTGCTGATGGGGAGCAATAAAAACTACCGCAATCTACACTGTATCCAAGAAAAAGTGAGTAGTCTTATAGATGTGCCCCAAAACCTAACCCTAACATTAAAAAAAACCTTTTTCTCAAGATTTAAACATAATTTGAATCAAATTAAACAAAACATAAAAAGGCAACAACAGAGAAGCCTATAAAACTAAAATATTCTCAGCAGTGAGTTCTAGCAGTAAACAGTAAGATCCTTCCCAATCCTTTAAAGGTCACCTATCATGCTATTTTTAGGCAATAGCATATCTCAGATATAAATAAATATATAAAAAACATGTCTATGAAGTGTTTTGGTCAAAAACCAAACAGATCACCCATTCTAGCCATGCCTCATATCCAGTGTTGGGGAAGTTACTTTTAAAAGTAGTGTTTGCTCGTTACTCGTTAGTTCTTTAAAAAGTAATCCCTTACTTTACTTAG